AATCCCTGAGACCCGAACACTGGTGTAACCAAACCTCCGGTCGAGTTCCGTACCAGAACCGGTTTACACCTTTTCACCGTGAAATTAAGCTGCGGCTAAGTTATGTAGGTCCGGAAAGTAAACCCGGAACCCAAATTTCCCATGTGACAATAGATTAGTTGAACCAGAACCTTTGTGTAACCAGACTTCAGGACGATTACTTCGGTTTATTTGTATTAGTTGACCCCGAACCTTTGTGTAACCAGACTTCCGGACGAGTTCTATCCAGAACCAATTGACACTTTTACAATGTACGTAATTTGTAATACTATAACGATAAGATTACAAATTTTCAAAATCACTAAAATCTCGTTAATATCTGATTTACGTGACTGCGTTGCACAGTTACTTTATCCGTCTAGTAAAGAAATCCGAAAAAAGCGAAAAGAAAAAAGAGAAATATCTCGATAAAAATTTATGAGAAAGCTTTTATCATTTTAATGTCGACCAGAATTTTATCGTAATTGAAGTAACCAATTAAATAGCAATAACAATTGAAATAGCAATAGCAATTAAAATAGTAATAGCAATTAAATATTTTATCATTAATAAATGTCTATAGATTGACTTAACCCTTCAAGAGCCAACAAGGTTAACAATATTTAACACGAAGAAGTCAAAAGTCCAGACTACTAACACAATTTAAAACTAAAACATAGAAGCATTAGAAAGGCCAACGTTGTTAATACTCACAAACGTCCACACTAATGATATATATGTGAACATTAATCATTAACAACTCAATAATGAGAAGAACTCAAACAAACTCAAAATTTCCATCAACATGGGAAGAAAACCTAAAAAGGGTCTTTCCCACTAACAACCAAACACATTTCAAAATTTAAAATTCATAACTATCTGACTAACTTGACAAAGTACCCTTCTAAGAAAGCCCTAAGTTTATCAACATCATTTTCAAACACAGCACTAGCAATGTATAAATCAGGTCGAACAAGTACAAAAGCCTGCTGGTTAATTTCTTTCGTGATACCATATTTTTCATGTACTTCGGATTTTGATTCCATAAATATATGCTGTTCTCGGCCCTCTTCCAATAATGGCATAAATGGTATATCAGCAGCCCGAACGGCACCCTGATATGAAACGATAATTGGGATTATAGTGTTTTTATAGCCAGAGTAAATCTCCAATAGGGTATTTATGAGTGGATTACAATCAGCTGTGACACCATTAGCTAAAGTGAACAGAATTAGGGTATGTTTCAATGCAGTTGAACGAAAGATATCAAATAAAGTTATGCGATCATGACTTTTTTTTGAAATTACTTTCTTTAATAGTCCATCTATTGCATAATGACCCGCTTTGATCAATTTGTTTTCAGAGTGTGAGAGAGGTTTGTATTTATGAAGAATCTCGGATATTTCGGGAAAATATTTAAGATCAGTTTGAAATAAATTACTCTGATAATTAAATGCAAGTTGTGGAAAAAAGTGGAACATGAAGGGTGCTACATATGTCCGTAAAAAAGTGCTAATAAAATCATTACCACTCAACATTTTTGTAGCAAGACTGGTACCAGAAACAACGTTCTTGCCAACAGGACGTCTTTCTTGTTCGTAACTATTAAGGACCTTATCAGGGTTGATAGCCTGATTCCTGATAACTAGCGCCAACTTGAATGCTAAATTATGAGCATCTTGAATCCCCATGTTCATGCCTTGGCCACCAACCGGCGAGTGACAATGTGCAGCATCTTGGTTTAATAGAAAAAATAATAAATATTATTGTTGTACAAAGTAAAATATAAAATCTTTATTTACCTCCAGCGAGGAAGACACGGCCTATTCGATATCTATTTGCAACTCTTTCACTAACTTTAAAATTAGCTAACCAAACCGGATCCTTTATCTCAAATTTAATAGGTGCAGTTTTCTTATCGATCATTTTTTGCAGCTGATCTAATGTACTGTGCTCTTCAGGAACTCTGCCAATAATACGAAAAGTTTTTTTTTCGGGAATCCAATGGTAATATTGCGATATGCCCTAATATTTAACATAATAAAATTTGGGTTAAAATGCACTATGAGAGTTTATAATAGTAAAATAAATTACCTCCAGCAGCTGCAAAAAGGGTTACTTGATCGTCTCTAATCAATTCATGATCAATACTTACATCGGCTACGGCCCACGAAGATTTCAATGTCCGACCTATAGGAAAAAGAACAATAATAATTGGATTATGTGCTAACTTTTTTTGATTCGAATAAACTAATTATTTTATATATTTAACCTTCAAAAATCCAATCATTTCTTCCATTTCTAACGCTGGAATGTACACCATCGCACCCTACTAAATAGCGACAAATGATTTCTTCCTCTTTACCGCTATTTATATTCTTGACAATAGCGATGATGTGATCATCCTTCTCTTCATATTTTATCAGTTCCATGCCGAATTCAACATCAGGAACATTTTTTATTCCCATTGATTTCTTTTGATGTAAAGCATCGATTAAATAATCTTCAGTCTTATTTTGACGGTTCATTAATGCAAAAGGAAACAAACTGTTCATGATACTAAGGTCGACCTTGAATAATTCGTGAATATTTTGGTATGTAGTGAATTGTTTTACTTTGACACCATTTTCCAAGAAAGGATCAATAAGACCCCTAAAAGTAATAAGAAAAATGTGAATAAATATTGTTTTTGTTTGAGATTAAAGAATAAATATTAATGAATATTAAATCACCTATTATCAAAAATTTCCAAGGTTCTAGGTGATATAAAGATTGCCTTTGAAAAATTTGGATGCTTATTGAGTTTTTCGATTATTCGGAAATTTATTTTGAATGCAGCCAATTCGTTAGATAGAAATAAGCCAACGGGACCTTTTTAAAAATAAATTTTAATACGTAGTAGAAAATTCTTAGCATAAATGTTAGCCAAATTTTAATTTACCTGCACCACAAATTAGTACGTCGACATGATTTTGTTCCTTAGAGAATGTCATATTACAGTAAGACCTCCAGAAATCTATTCTTCTTGGGACTAAATGTGTATTTAGAGATGGTGTACATTTATAGAGAGCAAAATTTTATGAGATTGGACTAATCTACACCGTGCATTTCGGTTTCCATTTTCGGGCTTTTTTTTTCACATGCACTATATTACTAATATTTATTCGAAATTTGTGCTATAGCCAACTCCTTTTTTAGAAGAATAAAATTTTAATATCTTATAAATTTAGTTACAAACAGATTCTTTTATGAAAAATTTTCGTTTTATCATTTTAAGTAGCGCTAAGCGCGGAAATACATGATTAAAAACATGATGGGCTGATATATTTTTGACATATGAAGTCATACGAAAACTCTTTTAAATGACGTACAATTTCCTATTTTTGTATTTTTTTTATTGGTATATAGAAGAGCTACCTAGATTTATCGACTTGACTAAGTTTATACTTAAAAAAATCGACTTAGCCTGCTATGCCCAAGTCGATTTACTTGCAATGCATAATATATGCATAATATATAACTTAAAAGGATTACGTATGAATTTTCCGGGACTTACTCTTTCCTTTTTGGTTGTGTAATTATCTATACTAACCTCTCTACAGTGGATACGTGTCGCTTCATTGACAATCTCATTAGGTAGCTGCTCGACATCATCGCGCTAAAACCAGAAACGAAACATACAGGTACAAACTTATTAAACTGCGAATACTATATAGTTTAATAAAAGTTTATTTTATTGGTTACTTAATTCTATTGAAACTAGAACAAGATAATGTAGGCTGCTTGGAATTAGTAATCTATGCAAGTTAACAAAATTTTGAATATGCAAATAAGCACATACCGCAAAGCGGCACGTGTAGCCAATCATTTGTCAAATTACCATATTCGGAAACTTGCCCAATAATGCAAACTGATGAAAGATCATGTGATTTTAAACAGGAGCATTCACACGCAAAAGTATGAATCTTTTTTTGTTTAAATTCTATGGATCTGTATAATTCAAATAAAAAAAATTTTATTGAATTTGGTTAGGTGATTGTTGTAACATCTTTACTCAAAGTTTTTAAAAAAATTAATGCAGTTTTTATTTTAATAAGCATTTTGAATTGTTTGTAGATTGGTATATTTGTAGATTTATTGTTTTGTTCTTTCTAGATTTGAGAGTTTGAGAACATAGGATTTGGATGTTATTGTTTTTTTTTATTGTGCAAATTGAGTATAATATAGTTTTCAAATTAATTTATGTATTTGTGAGTTAAGTTTGTAAAGTAATTTAATTATAATTTGTGATGCTACTTGTAAAGTATTAGCAAAAGGTTTGATAGTATCAATTAGTGAGTATAGTATTAATTCTTTAAGAGTAGAGTATAGAGAGATAGAATTATAAGATTAAGTGAGTAGTTGTAGTGAGTGATGATTTGTTATAAGGTTGTTGAGAGTATAGAGTTTATTTTTAGAGATTTTTAGATTAGTTAAATTTAGTAGCTACAATATACAATTAATTGTTGAATAATTTGAAAGAGGAGAGTTGTATTAAAGTATGATATTTAGTACAGTTTATAGTCTGCTTTATTACAGATAAAGTATCTATTAGAGATAATATTAAAATAAAAAATATGAAGATGAATTTGAGTTAGAAGTTTATTGTAATAAAGTTTAACTTCAAATATTTTAAGTTTACTTAGTATAAAATTAGTAAAGTTGTATGATTATTTGTTGTTATTATTGATGTATAACTATGTTGGATTCTAGTCAATTTGGTCAACTACTAGATTTAAAATTAGTTTCAGTTTGTAATAACTATATTGTAATAATATATAAATTATATATATTTTTAACAAATCTATATATTAATTATTTTACTAGAAAGTTTTGCTATTTAATATAGTAATATAGTTTGTAAATATTTGAGTAATTAAATTTAAGATATTAAAAAAATTTATAGTTTTGTGCTAGAGAGTCAATTTTGTTATTCAAGATATTATATTATAAATTTGAACTTTGTATAAGTTAAAGATAAAGCTAAATGATTTAATAAAATTTGTAGTATAAATTAAATAAACTAGCTAATAAAAGAAAAACATATAATAGATTAATTATTTTGAGTACTGAAGAGTTATTTATTAATATAGAAAATAGTAGTAGAATATATTTATATTTTTGTTAGCTATTATATAGACTAGGTTTAATTAGTTAGTATTAAGTTTTATAGTTATTAATATACTATTTAGAAGTTTTTTTTACTCTAAAATTTAGTTGATAGAATTACTAATATATTAAAAATATAGTAGTTTTGAATTTGATTAAAATTAAAATTATATTCTATATATAGTATTATATTGTTTTTATTTTTTCAAAGATAGCAACTTACTAGAGTTACTAATTATAGAGAATACTTTGCATTATATTAAACAGTTATTGAATTTTGTCAAAGTTAGTAAAATATTTTTGTAAAACTTAACTAAGAAGATTTTTAGTAATTTGTAATTATAAAAGAAGTAACAATTAAAGATATATAAAGATATTAATAAATATTCATTTTAAAGTATTAAAAAAGTACTTTATTTGTAAAAGAATATAAAGACTCAATATTGAAATCAAAAACTATATATGCTATTTTTATACTTTACAAAAAATTAGAAATATAACAGGCTATATATATTATATAGACTATATATATTACAACTATTATTAATAAAATATATAATATAACTAATATATATATAAAATATATATAATATATAATATATATAAAATAAATAATAAATATATCTCAAAAACTATATATTATAGATAAACTATATATAATGAATCTTATATAATAATTATTTAGCTAATCAGATTGAACAAATTATAATAAAAGCTAGAATATGAGTTTTTGAAATTTAGTAATTAGATTTTGTTGATTTTTAGCTATTAGATATGTTTTAATAAGATAATTTTAATAGTATAAGTTTTATTTAATTTAAACTATAAAATAAAAGTTAGAAATATTTTTCTATTTTTTATTAATATTTTACAAATCAACAATTGTTTATATTTTTTTTTTGTTATTAAAGATGACTTATATTGCTAAAAGAATTTTATTAGAGTTATAAATAGAATTATACATTGATAATTTCTACTATTTGTAATTACATGAAAGTTTATAACAAGCTACATGTACAACTTTAGTCATTGTCTATTTTAAGTAATTTGCTACAATAGTTTGTATTCTATTAGAGTTTATAAATAGAATATAGTAGTAAAGTAGTTAATTTTGTATTGCTATTATATTATTAAAATTATATTTATATATTTAATAAATTATTTTGCTTTGCCTATTATAATAGAATTTTTTATATTATTAGTTAGCTATAGTTTGTATTTTTTATTAAAGTATACTATAGTATAGCTAATATAGTTATTTGAGTTAAGTATAAAAAATTTATTTATTAATCTAGAATTAGATTAATTATTCTTTAATTTGTAGGCTATAGTAGACAAATTTGTTTGTATAATAGTTTAAATATAGTAATAATCTACTTTTTTAAAAAGTTAAAATTATTAAATAAAAATTTATATATAAATATTTAAAAATAAAGATTATATTCTAGTAATATAGTTAATTATTTTTCTATATAATCATATAGTTAAGTACATAGTAATTTTTTTTAAAAATATACTTATAAAGAGATTATGTTTATATAAAAAGCTTTTTATTATATTTATATTTTTTTTCTCTACAAGAGGATCTTGCTCTTCATTTTATTATCATTTAATACTGATTACAATATAAACATATAAAGCTAAACTATATATATAAACACAAAAGCTAAACTAAATATGCAAGAGACTTTATCCTTATATTATAATACAAGTAATTATCACTAATATAAATGAGCTTAACTAAATATACTTAGTAAATGATTATTACAATTCTGGACTTAATTAGATACCTATATAGCTCTAAATATAATCAACTCGCTAGCAAGTTTACTTTTCGAAAAGCTTTGTACTTAATATACAAAACAATTCAATTCCTCAATAATTTGCTGACAGCCTAGTCAAAAACCTCTTGGTTACCTCCTACTCTGTACCAAACTGATCCAAGGTAAGTAGGCTATAAAGAGAGAAAATAAAAATTATATATATAATGAAAGATACAAGGTCATATATCATATAATATAGTTGAATAAAAAAAACCTGTTAACAGATAAAAATCTTTAAACAACAAAAACAAAATAAAAAGAAACTAATGTTCCTTCTAGAACTATGTAAAAATTGTGTATATATAATACTTAAGTTATTCTTTAAATTCTCAAAGAAGCGAGATATCATATTAAAGAGAAAATATCAACAACTTAGGTTTCCTATAACATATGTTTGGCCAAATATATATTTGTTGTTTGTTTATAGCATAGGAAACAACAGGCTAATACTCAATTGTTTTTGTCAATGTGTGTTGCAGATCTTTTAGAGAAAGTAAGCCAAATTCCTCAAAAAACACTAATGAGTTAGAGAAAAAATTCAAAAGATGATATCAGAGGAGGCTACTTCTAGAAGAGAAAGATTTTGCTAATTATTTTCTTACTAAAAATAGTATAAATACTTGTTGTACTAACTATTCCCATGTTAGCAAACTACTAGTGAGCATTATTTAGAACAACAGAGGTATTTGACAATTTTCTTGTAATCTACTACTTTTCTATAATATCTAGGAGTTATATCCAGATAACATAACTAAAAAAAGCTCATACAAGAGAGTTATTCACTTATGATACATTGTAAAAAGTCTAAGAAAAAGAATATTATTATCTGTTATAGCAGAAAAAATTTTTTGCAAATCAGATTATTGTAAAAAAAGTAGTCAAAGGATTGATGAGAAGAGTTAATTGTTTTGTTTTTTATTATATATTAATTTATTATTATTATTATTTTTTTTTTTTTTTTTTCCTTTAACAGTCACATCATAAACTTTATTAAGTTGTTAACTACGGCCTTAGCCAAGTTA